GAAAAAAGATCCGGGTTTTATTTTTCCAATTTTCCGTCTTTATATGAAAAAAATTGAAAACTAATACGGTTGATTGGCGAAAAAAATTTTTTTCGACAAAAAACTTTAATACATTTTTACTCTAAAATAATTTGGGGAGCTAATAATCACATGTTATGAATTTTACATTGAAATCCCTATGATGCGAATGGTTTTACTTAAAAAGTCACCCCGAAAGATACCCGGGGCGGGGTGCTCAGGCTTTCCTGGCCCTCCCAGCCAAAGTTAAGGATGGGAACGGAAGGAACGGAGTTACGGTGCTGAGAGGGAAGAGGTTCTGAAAACACAATATTTGGGGTAGACTACCTACTGGGACATAGGTAAGCCCATGTGTGATGTGAGTAGGTGTTGCCTTCCCTACCGATTCAGCGGCTAACTAGCCGATAATTTGAGCCCAGCGACGTCGGAAGTATAGGTCAGAAGGGGCGACTCGCTCTCTCAATTTAATTTTTACACACGAGGGATAAATTAAAAAAAAAAGTAAAAATTAAATACAGTAAATGGTCCGAGGTCCGCGGACCATAAAAATAGAGACGGTACGTCACGTAAAAGAATTTGTATGATACAGGCGCGGATTTTAAGGGGGGGGGGGGCGCAAAAGGCGCGCGCCCCCTCCTGCTCCTAGACACTCCTAGACAGTGGTAGTTACGCAGGCGGTCACCTAGTGACTATTGGAAAAGAGTTGTATAATTATTCCAATTCTTAATCATGTAATAACTGACTTAGTGAAAAAAATTATTAAATTTAAACATAAATATTAATACCTAATGCTCGTCTGGTAGTTGCAGTTGATAACATTTTAATTGATAAAAGAGTACGGATAATCCGCCGTTAGCACAACTTTTGGGTGAAGTGCAGCTATTAGCACAACTTTTGGGTGAAGTGCAGCTATACACTGTGTCCCAGATGAGAATTTCAGAAACCATAGAAGATGGTGAAAGGCAAGAAATTTGTTGATTTCGTTTTTATTTTTTTCTGATGTTATTTGAGCGGATACAAAAAAAAACATTTTCTCATTGTCACTTATTAAATTTTACCAGAGACGTTGAGACGTTTCATTTCGGAGAAATCATTATCAACTTTATTTTTTTATATGGCCCGTAAAAAAAGTAGATACTATACTGAGTAGCATTTTTTCCTACGAATAAAATGATGTACGGCACGCAAAAGAAAACAAAAGTTGGAAACTGTTGGTTTCAGCAAGATGGTGCACCTGCGCACAATTGTATAAGGATACCTAAATGGTTTTTCAATAGGGACGCTCAACTTTGAAAGCGCATAGCAGCCATCTTGGTAAAGCGATAGCTGTCAAATGTGGCAAAAGTACGTATTTAGTACTGTCATTTCACCATGGAACGCTACACGCTTCAACAACGCGTAGAAATTGTTAAAATTGATTATCAAAATCAGTGCTGCGTTCGCCTAGCGTTCCGTGCGTTGTGTCCAATTTATGGCGTTCAAGGCCTTCCTGCAGAGTCCACAATCCGTTTTTTAATAAAAATTTGAGACAACGGGATCAGTGATTGACGAAGCAGCGCCTGTACGTCAAAGAAACGCAAGATCGTTGGAGAATATTATTGCCGTTCAGGACAGTGTGCGAGAAAACACCAAACAGTTCATTCTGTGTAGTGCGCAAGAAAGACCCCTTTCTGCGACATCAACTTTGGCGGATTTTGCGTCGAGACTTGGGTTTTCATCCATATAATTTATAAAGTTCAGTTCCCTAGTCTATGCAGACAAACCACACTCAATTGCTGCCCTAAAGGTCACGCATAACTCGCGTTCTTCGTAAAATTGAGCCCAGTTTAAGCGAAGATGTCCAAAATTTGTCCACCAGAATTCAACATCTACAGCGGTGTCGCGGGAGCCATTTGGCTGAAATTATTTTCCTTACATAGTGTCATCGAATATCCTTTAAAATATTATCAAAATTGTGGTAATACGAGTATCACTTAAACAGGTTGCTTTATTTCATTTCAAAGTTCGAGCACTCTTAATGAAAAACCCTTTATATTTGACAAATTTCGTGGAAAGTGGAAAAAAATCGATTTGCGCCGACAAAGAGAAAACTCGCGACTTTGCCATTTAGCCTTTTTCTGGGTTTTTCTTTTCTTAGTTTATGAAGAATTAGTTATTTGTTCAATATATTACGTATTATGCCCAAAATAATTTAATTGTTGTTTATTTATTTACAATTAATTAATTTACAACAATATTAAAATATAATACGAATAATTAATTACAAAGTTAAAATTTTTTAAATATTCATAACAAATAATAAATTTCTTCCATGGGGATCGCAGTTGGAAGCGTCCCCATTATACTTGCCGCATTGCCACGTTGTATAGCAATACTGATTTTTTGTTTTAAATATATTTAAAACTAGTAGCTCGAGGTTCTCCAGTAATACTGGCAATACGTTTTCCTAAACACTCCACAAAATTACGAGCCTCTCTGCACCAAGGTCCCAAAGTCTCTACTGCGAAAGGTATAAAAATATGGTTCTGTTCTATAATTGAACAATATTTCCTTATTTTTATCCCTGCCGCAGATTCAGCTACTGCACCACCCGTTTTACTTGATAAATTAACATGGGATGGTGCTAGAGTGTCGGTGCATGTGGCATCCCAAACTAGCATTTGTCCTTTGGTCCAAGGCACAAGGGTCATTCCATCAGGACGTTTATTGTCGTCAAAATGTTCTATTTTTAAACGTATAATAAATGTTTTTTTTTAAAACGTATGCGCCCCTCCCTAGACCAAATGTGTTTTTTTAAATGTGTCGGTTTGTTTTAATATGTTATACATTTTGTAATTTTAGTATTTGTGCTAAGTATATTGTTTGCATGTATTAGGGACATGGTGTTGCCACCTACTATAAGGTAAAGCAACAACGAATAACTAAATGAAATGAAATGAAATCCTAAATCCGCCACTGTATATGATATGATTGTTTATGGTGTCTAAGAAACGAATGCTATTCTTTCCGGATATTAACCCGGGACCCCCACTTGTCTTCTTTACAATGTTCAATAGTGCAATAAATAGGAACCACATTTTTGTAATAATGTTAAATAAATATTACTGATCTATTGCTATGGTTTGGAGTACATCACATGCACATTTGATTACCGCGTGTGTTTGATTCAAAGATGTTAAGTTGTTTTTCTGAGGCCACATGCAATTTGATCAAAACATCTCAAAATCGTTAATTATTCATAGACCAAGATCTCAATACCCAATACATGGATTTTAGTGCATTTTTGGCGACTACATGGAAATAAAATTTAAAAAAATTTAAAAAAATGATAACAATATTCGATCCACAACCAACTTCCGTAACTTTCTAGCGTAGTAATCAATGACTATTTTTGCCCCTTCAGAGTTATACTCGAATACTCTCACTTTTAATTAACTTGTTACATTTAGTATTCGTTATTTATTATCTTGCGACCTCTATAAAGTTATGATCGAGTTTTCTCACGTATTAGGGAATGCAATACCGGGATCGCGGGATGCCGAAATACCGGGATCGCGCAACATTTTTGCGGGATTAATCCCGCACATAAATGGAGCGGGATCCCGCAGGATTTGCGGGACTGAGGAATTTGTCGACCAAGGGGACGACTCTGTTTACTTTGTTAATGAAACGCATAACGGAGAAGTTATTTTTTAAATAATTGTTAAACTTTTTTCGTTGAAAATGTACTATGATTTTTGGGGCACTTTAGAAGTTCACCTTTTTTTGTGCTTTACAGGCGACGTTTTTTTAAACTCTAAGTTAGACTGAAGGTACTTTTTTGTTAAATGTTTTGATAATTAGCGATTTATTTTAATACAGAAGTTCACTGCACAGAATTGCTTATTTGCCAATTTATTTAAAGTTCATGTATGTTATTGTAGACGGCCACTTCCTTCCGAAGCCTTGGCTAATAATGGTATCTTATATAAGTCTATTACTACTAGGGTGAGGTCCTTCAGTTCTTGGATTCCGAGCTCTGCAGCTTGGGAGTTTTCTTTTGTTTGCAGATTTTATGGAAATCCGGAAACTGAGCTCACTTCTCTGGGTGCCGTCTCATTTTAAATGAATTTAAATGAATTTTTTATGTTTTACTTGTATTTGGTCATATATGTACGCATTTCTTCCCGGAGCATCAATTTATTTGGGAAGACATGTGTTACAATTCAGTGATTAATTCAATCGATTGGGGGTTAATTAAACTGGATATATTTTAAATTGTGAAGTAACGTTACTAAAATTTTTGTGTGTGACGTAACTTATAATTTTGATACCGTCGTATCTTCTCAATTTCATACGGAGAGTGGTGAGCTAGAAATTGAGTAGCGCTCAACCTAAGTGCAACGACGATTCCGAAGATCATTTTACCCAGAACGAACTACCGCTGTGCAAGTTACTTAAGCTCTTATTTTGTGTTTAAGCCTGAGCTAGTTAGCCGTTTATGCGGTGGGTTTGGGAGAATGCAGCGCCAACTCAACACCCGATAGGCCGATACCACCTACAAACCTATAACCCATAAATACATAAACCTGTACACCTATAAACATACGACTTTTTCGTGTAAATGACCTTTCGATTTAAAAAAATTCGTATAATTCGGGGAAGGGTTGCTTGTAAGCATAGCCCCTTATTGTTTCTTTGGACTTTTTGGCGGCCATCTCTGATCCGCGAGGCAACTAGAAGGAGTGGAGTGACGGCGAGATTATTTTTTGCAAATTTCGGCTATTTGTTGTTCAAGTTACATTATGCACAATCTAAACGTTGAGTAAAGTATGATTACCACCTGAAATTGCAATAAATTCCATAAGTACGCGTCTACATCTCACAATGGTTGCTTTCTAACTAGCGTAGATAAAAAAGCGAGCATAAGAATCCGGAAAGACAATCTAATTATTATAAAAAACTTACAGAAACATAGTAACTATTATAGTAGGTACCTAGGTAATACAAACTGCAGGTCTTTGGAGTAAGTTGTTCAATTCATTAAGTAGCCCCAAAAAATTTTAATATGTCTCTCATAGTATCAATTGAAAACGGACAGTATTTATAAAAAGCACGACACTTTTCAACTTTTTTAGAATTTGTGCCGTAATTTAATGCAAATCGTATTTCATCACCAGCCCATCCTTTGCGCTTTGCGGACCTGCGAAAGTAAAAGTCAAAGCAATTTAAGCGTCTATTATACATATAGGTACGTACCAAAACAGCTGATTTATGTTTCCTTTATTTGTAGAAGACCGTTTTGAATCTTCCGCCGCCAATTGGCAAGCAAAGCTCCTTACGCAGCCGATGGGATCGTTGGTAAGTATTCGGTTCCAATCAACGGAAATGTTAGTCTCACCACTTGCTCCTACATTTTCGACAGTACGATTCGCGAAATAGTCAACGTCACCAATGGATCGTTTCCAGAAAAGTTTGGGTGGACGCGAGGCGGGTTTATTGAACACTTTGTCGATGTCTTGGGCTAGCATGTGTAATATCCATAGGCCCATTAATCCAAGCGCTCCCAAAATTACAAAGTGGATGAAGTGTTGTGCCTTTGAAAATCCCGTTACTGCGAACAGGATGATTGCTTGAAACCAAAGGTGCATTTTGAAATAAACAGTAACTTACTTGAGTGCACGAATGACAGTAGAAGAAATTCTCAACGCAAACAGTTTTATAATGACATCCCTTATTCAGAGATTCGAAGGAATGACGGGAAAGTAGGCGAAAGTGGTCTGCAGATTTGATTTTTTAATTTAGAGAATACGAGTTTGGTGAGTAAAAGGCAAAAATGTGCGTAAGTGCTAATAAGGAAGTATCTAAAATCAAGTTCTTTACGCGTGCTGGAGTACCTACAGTTATTTATAAATTATAGGTGCAAGTAGTCAATTGCTTTCATGGAACTAGACGTAGGTACCTAACGCACGGATTTGTTCGAAAAAAGCATATTTTACTAACACAGATACTCATCCAAAATGATTTGGAAGACTATGGCTACCTAGATATCACAGCATTAAGGTTGTCATCGAACGAACAAGTGCATTTTTTCTTCCTAACAAAAAGAATTTCTTTTTCGGCAATTCCAATGTAAAAATTTTAGTCCCACGCAGACAGAATAAGACGTACGAATTGCAATAGAGTAAAGGATAGCGGGGTATCGAGAACGATGCAAATGTACACGTAGGTAGTGGCTCGAAAAAAACTTTTTGTTAAATTCCGGAACGATATATTATAGTGCGCAAAAGTTGCAATTGGTATAGACAAGAAAAGTAACCAAAAAAGTAATACTTATCTATATAACTTCCGGTCGCGCATGGCCGCCAAACTTTCAAAAAAATCTTACAAAAGCAGTATATTTATATTATAGACTTAGGGTCCTATACCACTTAAAATGTTCCTGGCGTATATAAAAGTATTTAAAACCCCTAAGAATGTGCTAAATTTGGTTATTTTACCAAAATTCTCAAGTTTTTATTCCCGTAAAACAAATTATACAGGGTGTAGCACCTAAGATCCCTCGGATCATAATTCCTTTACCATAAAAGATACCGAAAAAAGTCTTATAGCAAAATTGTACACAATTACCGTTGCCATATTTCTAAAATATGTTTGATCACCAGGGGCGTGCTGTATTCCAGTGGCGTATCAAACTTGCATTATTTTATATGGAATACCTCATTTTTTATTACTGATTTAGAATGTACTTGAAAAATACTTATTTTTTTATATAACATATTACATCCCTAGCTTTAACGATTTCACAGTTATAACCTTTTTTCGTCAAAATTTCGAAATTTTTTTAGAGAAACTAAATCGCACAGGCCGCTAATTTTTGAGTTGAGGCACAGGTTAAGACCTCTTTCATAGTCACATAATTTTTTTTAGGTACTTTACCAAAAAAATTGAATATTTGATTGACCTTCGCCAACAGTCATATTTTTCCAAAAATTTCAAATAACCCCCCCCCCCCCCCTAAACAAAATATACCTCTGAGTAGTCAAAACTACAAATTTTCTACTGATACAAAGAAAACCACACATTCCATAAGAAATTTTCACAGAAAAACCAGTCGAAACGCCAATTTGTAAAAAAACCTTATTTTCCGAATCCAAGTGTGCCATGATGAAACAAAAAAGTTTAAATTCTCACAATTAACAGTAAAGTATCGGCAGTTTATGTCGCATTGTCTAGTACATTAGAAATTTCATTGAATACCTTCATAAATGAAATATACAGCATGCGTTAACAGTAATTTTGAAACCGGTATTAGTTTTAGTTTCATTTAAGGTGCCTACATATGATATTTCGTTTAACTGCTTTCATAAATAAGAAAGTTGCCATTGCGCATGCGCAAAACCAAATTTTAAAACTGGTGTTACATTTGCTTGTATTCCAAGTGCCTATGTATTAAATTTCAGTAAATAACAAAGTTGGTATTGCGCATGCGCAAAACAACATTTTGAAAATGTCGTTAATTTTACTTATATTCGTAGTGTTTACATATAAAGTTTCATTTAAATATCTTCATAAATAAAAAGTCAGCATTGCACATGCGTTAAACCACACTTTTGACACAGCGCATGCGCAAAACCGAATTTTCCAACTGGTGTTAGATTTGTTTATATGCCAAATGCCTATGTATAAAATTTCATTTAAATGCTTTCATAAATAAGAAAGTTGGCATTGCTCATGCGCAAAACAACATTTTGGAAACGCCGTTAATTTTACTTATTAACTTATATTCATACTGTTTACATACCGGGTGGTGCCTAGCGCGACGCAGCATAGGGATTTCAATGGTAATTTCTTTATAGTCAATTACTAGCTCCCCAAATTATTTTAGAGCAAAAGTCTAAATACGGTTCTTTTAGAGAAAAAAATGCTGCATCTGTTCATATATTCATATAATTTTCCGTTTTTCAAAACCGTAGAAATCGACAAAATAAAAGGTTCATTTTACAATAAATCAAATATGCCTCCGGAATTACGTAAAAAAAATAGCGATCACGTTTCATTATTTGCCTTTGACGTATATTAAATTTATACTTGTTTATAAATTAGTTAAAGAACTGCAAGTGCAATAACGTTCATAATGTCCGTCACCATCAGGAAAACGACAATACATTCAATTCAACGTTTTGACTGCAGTAGCGGAAAATCCGAATATAAGTTTAAGAACAAATCTTCTTCAAATCTTTTTTTTTCTTCGATTATGTGGGTACTCTGGTTCGGAAAATGATAAAGAAATAGTATCTGATGCAGATGCAGCATACATTCTCTAAAAAAACATTACCCTAAGATGCCTTTTATTGCATCGGTAGTTGAAACAGAATTAAATATGAAAATCGATCGATGTCAAACAACGATAACTTAGATGCGATGCTCTTCTAGTTTGTTGAAAAATTCCAAAGCATCACTGATTTATAAAAATGTAATTTTTTATTTTCTCGATTTCTACGGTTTTGAAAAATGGAAAATTATAACTAATAGTATGAACAGATGCAGTATTTTTTTCTCTAAAAAAAAACGTATTTAGACTTTTGCTCTAAAATAATTTGGGCAGCTAGTAATTGACTATAAAGAAATTACCATTGAAATCCCTATGCTGCGTTGCGCGAGGCACCACCCTGTATAAGGTTTCATTTAAATATCTTCATTAATAAAAAAGTTGGCATCGCATATGCGTTAAACCAAATTTTTGACACTGCGCATGCGCAAAACCAAAAAATATGGGTATGTGCGGAATCCTTGTACCAAGCCCTTTCAAATGAGTCCTATATGGTCAAAATCGGTTCAGTGGTTTAGAAGGAGTACTGTGACGGACGGACGGACGGACGCCAAAGTGCAGCCAACAGCGATTTTTCACTTTGAGGAAAATGCGCTAAAAACCTAAATAGAGTTTGTCTCTAAAATAATTAGGTAAGCGAGTAATGAAATAATGAGTAATTGAACTGAACTTGGCAGCCAGAATACAGCAGAAATACATACAAAACAAACTACTTCATGACCACTCCAAACAAAATAATTCTACAGCCCTGCTACCCTCAGTAAAAAGTTTTCAATTGTTCACTTACAATAAACTTATCAATCACTGCCCGACGGAATGAGCGGTTGTAATCAACACAGTGCCGTTCCGTAGAACGTCCCGGCCTGGTCATGCAATCATAATACCCGGCCCAAAAAATTGAAAATACTCATACTCATATTTACAAAAAAAATATATTCTGCGTTGTGCAGTGAGAACAATGGTAGATTTGTTGGTGACTCCAAAAAACATTTTACCTCAGTCAGACTGAATAAACAGACTATAAAGTGCCTCGTTTATTATTTTTTCGTATGTGTTTCCCGGCCCTGCATTGTCCCGGCCCGGTCAACCACTGTCCTTTCATGACCTCGACGGGACGGTACTGAATCAACATTATTGTACTGTCATCGTTCGACGTACCGAATCGTAGTCGCTGTAGCAAGTCTACCTAGCAGTGTATGCACCGATTCCTCTCCTACACAAAATGAACCTGTGGACCCTAAAATGCTCGAACCCTTCTTGGTCAGCAAACTTTTCTGGACCATGGCTTCCAAATATTCTCCCTCCTCTCGAAGATGATTGGCAAATGGTTTGAATGGGATTGGATCGGATCGGAGTAGACCGGATTGGACCCGACCCGACCCGACCCAACCCGATCGGACCGGATTAGATACATTGGATTGAATTGACTAGCAGACATACCTACCTACCAAAGCAGATGCTTTTGTAAGTGGAAAAGTTCAAGTTTGACGCTTTCGTACTTGAATTATAAATCGCACGCAAAACAAATCAGCAAACCGTGTAAAAATAGGTAAGTGATACGCAAATCGTAACTAACACATGGTACCTATACGTATCATCATGTGACTTATGTTGAAAAGTTAATAAAAGTAAACCCAAATCAAATAGTCGTCAGTATTTAAATAAATGTAAATGTTTATGAGAAGCCACGTAAAAACATCTCTTCTTTCCACAAAATGTTGATATAGCCAAATGGGTTGGCGCCAATCGTAAATTTTTTCGGCAATAAATCTTTGAAGAACCTGCAATAAGTTGACAAAAAATTGGGAGAACATCTACGTGATTAATTACGGCTGTATATCTACGTAATATCCACAAAAATGGAAACGATGTTAATCATTTTTACTGGTTGGTTTTAATTCTTTTTTTAAACACCTACAAATGAAGTTAGAAATAATGTTCGCATCCCTTAGGAACAATAAGTAAAGTAATTTCAAATTGGAACGATTCGGACAAATTTATTTGCACAGTATTCTACTATAGTATGTATTGACGCACACACTACACACCTAAAAAATTAATGCCTGGCAACGTTAAAAAAAAACTCTAAATATCCACTTCACTATTTATAATTTTAATTCTAAAATTAAATGGCACCTATTAAAGACGCGCCGTACTTTGCCGTGGAAAAATATGCATCTCGCAGTTTTCACAACGAACGATTTTGTTTGAAACAAACACTGACAAAAGACACACTAAAATCCACGCACTCTCCAAGAATAATAGAATGAAAAAAAGGTTTTGGCAAGAAATAGAGCGACTTGTATAAATTGGTATTGTTAACAGGACATTTGTATTATTTTGCCTAGTAGATTTTATCAATGAATATTACAAAACACAGTTTGGCTGAATTGTAGAATTTTAATTAAAATCGATTTTTAATAAACGAGAGCTTGTTCGACTAGAAAGCGCAAGAAAGACGTAGGCAAGTTTAATTATGAAATTAGTTATGGGTATTTCGTAATTATGATTTTATTAAATTAAATGAAAGTACCTATTTAAATTACGTTTAAAACCAGGTGCCAAATCCCTGACAGCACAGCTTCCTAGCTCAAACCAGATATTTAAAAAAAAGTTTTTGATAGTCTTACATCCTTTATGCCTAATGTACACTGCCAAAATTCACGAAATCAAAATAACCGTTTTGCCGAAAAAAAAAAAGATTCAACTTTGACATTTTCTTTCCCCGTTTTTTTTGTAATAAAACTTAACAAAATTTTTGAAGGTTGTACATAGAAATAGAAAGTGTTTCGTATAATTTAATAAAAATTTTGCGTTGCTATTTAAAAACGAGATGTTTCGGTACATTGGCGATTTCGTAAAGAAATAGTAGTCGACTGCTCCCAGAGTCGCGTTCGTATTCTTGAGCGACTTTAAGCATCGGTGTCGCACGTATACCACACTCACATCCCCTCCTTCCTCTAGGTGCAAAAGTCATTAATTTTGTGATTGTTAATTACCGTCAATTCTTTATGACCTTTTGTGAACACCTTTGTCCCTCTTTTTTAAGTTTTTGCTTATGTTGTTATTAGATTTTCTTTTTATATCACAAGCAACATATAATTAATAATCGTAATTCTTAATTAGAATTACTTTAGTTTTGTTAGTCGGGGGTTTTGTTTTGATTTAATTTATGGGCACCTTCATTACTTTTGTAA